TTATTAGTGTACCATCAAATTGGATCTGGCAGGTACAGGAGGAGATTATCCCTCTTTCTCCAGCAGAGCATCTGGTGGGTTTGAACCATATACCTTGGGAATTGCAGTGCAGCTTCCTGCCACTAGGCCACCAGAGCTCCCTCCTCCAGTGGCTTTTTAGAGGCAGTTAACCAAAGGGGAGAAGACTGCCCTTCCTTCTCCCACAGAGCAGCTGGTGGATTCCAACCGCTGGAGTAGCACAACCTTTATTTTGACAGCACAACTCTCTATCGGCGGAGCCACCAGAGGCCCATGGAGAGCCGTGCAAGAAGTTAAGTGCTCGTATGCAGGTGCCACCTGGCCTCTTCCGAGCCAGCCAGGGTCACACTGAAGCTCTGACCTCAGCCCTGGCCCTGGGGGTGCCAGTGATGTCACACAAAGCCAGCGGGACAGGGCTGGAGCTCGGGGCTCTTCTGAAGTCAGTGGGTCCTCCCCACCCCACCCCCCGGGCCTGGGCAGTATGTAGGGGCCTCCCTGGCGCTGCACCAGAGCTTGCTAGGCCCTGTTTTTCTATAAAAGCAAACAATGGTGCAGGTGGCGGCCCTGGGTGGCAGGTGGCTTGGTGACTCTGGACAGCACCGCCCTCTTGTGGCCAGTGGTCAGAAGTGAAGGGCAAGTCCAAGGTCTGCATTGGAAATGCCCATTTAAACCCCAGAAGTTCACGACCACTAGGCCCCAGCCTGATTCCCTCCTTCCCTCCCGTCCTCCCTCCCTCTCTACTCAAAGGTAGTCACACTTAAGCCAGAGCCATGAAGGTAACTTGTGTTTAACTGTCGACATGCATGTTCTCTGTCTCCTATCCCCCAGTCGAGCACGTTTCCTAAATCCTGCTCTTCATCACGTCTATATGTCCCTTAAAAGCACATACACCTTTCTACAAAGATGGCGCCGAAAGCGAAGAAGGAAGCCCCTGCCCCTCCCAAAACTGAAGCCAAAGCAAAGCCATTAAAGGCCAAGAAGGCGTCCTGAAGGGCATCCACAGCCAAAAAAAAAAATCTGCAAGACACCCACTTCCCAGCAGCCTAAGACACTGAGATGCCAAAGGCAGCCCAAATATCCCTGGAAGAGCGCCCCCAGGAGAAACAAGCTTGACCACTATGCCATCATCAAGTTTCCCCTGACCACTGAGTCAGCCATGAAGAAGACAGAAGATAACAACACACTTGTGTTCACTGTGGATGTCAAGGCTAACAAGCACTAAACTAAACAAACTGTAAAGAAGCTCTGTGACACTGATGTGGCCAAGGTCAGCACCTTGATCAGGCCTGATGGAGAGAAGAAGGCGTGTGTTCTACTTGCTCCTGACTATGATGCTTTGGATGTTGCCAACAAAATTGGGATCAGCTAAACTGAGTCCAGCAGGCCAATTATAAATACAAATTTTTCTCACCAAAAAGAAGCACATATAATTTTGATAATTTGAACACACACACAACCCCTCACTGCCCTCCAGCATGTTACAACCCATAGCTATCCTCCCCCAGTGTTCCGAGGCCACAGATCCTCCAGGAAGGAGCTGCCCAGCTTCTGGCAGAGCTACAGGTAGATTCCAGCTACAGGTAGAATCCAGGTAGATTCCAACCACCTGCGACCTCGGTGCTTTTTGGCTGACAGCACTCAGCCCAGTACTCCGGCTGCCAGAACTCGCTCCATAGCAGTTTACCATTCTAGAAAAGGACGCTCCAGTGTGTGTAACATGTTGATACTTGTAGATTGAACTTTGATGGTGTCCACCAAAAATACGTCCTGAAATTGCAATTCCAACACGTGTAGATGAGATCTGGTATAGTGCAATCCTTAACGTCTAATAAAGTATAATTACCTACCATGATGCAATCCAGTGTAATGTAATCAAGTAGAGGTCAGATCCTGCAGGAAGAATGCAAAACCTGATCATTTCTGGGTTCTATAAAGAGCAAGAAGGCAGAATGGGGAAGAGGGAGGGCAGATGAAGAGCACCTGGGGTCACCAGCCAGGACGGAGTCCACATGGCAGGGGTCGGGGGCTGGATTCTCAGTCGCTCGCCGTCTCTTATTGCCGTCCCACAGCCATGGACTGAGAGGGAGCCCACGGGGGCAGTTCACCCTCACAGCCACGGACTGAGAGGGAGGCCAGAGAGCCAGTCCACTCTCACAGCCACGGACTGAGAGGGAGCCCACGGCTGCAGTCACTGTGTCAGCCGTCTCATGGAAGGTAGTCTTCTTTCTGACCCTTTGCTTTACTGAACACCGCATGTCAAAGGTATGTGAGATGACGTAAGAGACACTGATGTACCACATTAGATCTACTAAAGAGGCTGTGGTAACACAGTGAATGAAGCATTGACTGCTAACTGAAGTCAGGGGTTCCAACCTACCAGTGAGGGGAGCAACATGAGGCATCTGTGTAAAGATGCTGTTGTTATTTTGTGCCGTCTGGTCAACTATGACTCCTGGCGCCCCTATGAACTACAGAGCCGAGCACTGCCCTGTCCTGTGCCGGCCTCACCGTCTCCACGTGCTCCAGCCCCTTGTTACCGTCATGTGTCAATCCCGCTTGTTGAGGGTCTTCCCCTCTTTCGCTGACCCTCCACCTTTCCATCTATGTTGTCTTTTTCCAAGGACTGACCCCTTCCTGACAACACACCCTCCTGGCAAAGTGTATGAGACAAAGTTTCACCATCTTTGCCTCTAAGAAGCTTTCTGGTTGCACTTGCTTC